GGCGTGAGCCGGGCCCCAGCGCCGCCGCCCCGGCCCGCGGCACCCACTTACGCAGCGGCTTCTCCTTGAAGTAGGAGCTCTCCAGGCAGTCCTTGGCCGTGGCCCTGGGGGGACAGGAGCGTTGTGGAGGCTGCCCTAATGCTCCCTAATGCTCCTGCCACCTCCCCGAGCTGCAGGGACTCCTTGCAGGGCTCGGTCCTTGCTCAGCCCAGCCAGCCCCTGCTCTGGGCTCGTTCCCAGCTCCTGCCCACATGGGCTCAGCAGCCCGAGCTTTGGGGACTGTGACTTGTCCCCATGCGTGTTGCACGCCACGCCGGAGCGGGCAAGGGCAGGATCCCTCCCCAGCGGGGCTGCCAGCGGCTCTTACCGCTTCTTGGGGTCGTACATGAAGAGCAGGTTGAGCAGACGCAGCCCGGCCTCCGAGAGCCAGGGGAACTTGTGCTTGAGGTTGTTGTAGGGCTGCTTGCGCAGGGTGTACTGGCTCACCAGGGGCAGCTTGGAGAAGCCCTGAGGGAGAGCGCGGTGAGGCCGAAGTGGGGGCGGCAGGACGGGCGGCGCGCGGGGCTGCCCTCACCGGCCAGATGTTCTCGTTGGGGGTCCCCAGCAGCTGCACGATCAGGTCGATCTGGTGGATCTCAGAGGTGCCCGGCAGCAGCGGCTTGTGCGCCAGGAGCTCGGCGAGGATGCAGCCCACGGCCCTGCGCAGGGCGGCACGCAGGAGTCAGCGAGGGCAGCAATCCCTCCATGGAGGTACCGGTCTCCTTGCCTGGCTCCTGATGATGCCCCATGCACCCGCCTGGCCAGACCTGGGGTCTGGTGTCCTGCCAGCACCCGAGAGCCTCCCCTTACCACATGTCAATGCTGGTGCTCTGCGTCGTCATCCCCAGCAGCAGCTCAGGTGCTCGGTACCTGCGCGGGGAAAGGGCCACTTGAAGGGACAGTGAGGGACGGTGCCACCGCGCGCAGCACCGCGAGGACTCGCTCCGCGTCACCCCGAGCCTGCCCAGCTCGGCCCCCGGCCCCAGCAAGCAGCTGCTCACCACAGCGTGACAACTTTCGGGGTCATTGGCTTCGGGGGCATCCCGTAAGTCCGCGCCAGCCCAAAATCCGCTGCGAGAGAGAAGCGGAGCCGAGGTGAGGAGGGAGGCCAGGGAGGCTGCCCGCTCTGCCCGAGCCAAGGGGAGCCGCAGTGGGAGCAGAGGCGACGGCCTCTCCGGGCTCACCTATCTTCACGCAGCCTTTGTCGGTCATGAGCAGGTTGGACACTTTCAGATCCCTGCCAGGAAACAGAGGTGCTCAGCACTGTCTCTTTTGGAGTGGTTCTAGCTGTGCCCACAGCTCCTGGCGCTCCCGAGGAGGCACAGAGCCCCAGAGCACCAAGATCACTCTGAAAAATGACTCTCGTCATCTGCTGACAGCCCCGCTCTGCCAGGGCTCCCACCCTGACGTGTGCCACCCCACGGCCAGGGATGCTCCACACACTGCTCCCTTCTCTGAGGACATGGGGTTGGAGCTGAGGAACCGTGGGGCAGTTTGAAGGCTCCGCAGCTTCTCTCCAGTCCATCCCAGTTCCCCCTGCCACCTGGCATGGTCCCTTTCCCACCATGTCCGACCTTCTGCTCCTACCTGTGGATGATGTAGTTCTCATGAAGGTACTGCAGGCCCTTGAGGACTTGCAAGATGATGCACTTCACCTGGGGACAGAGGACAGGAGCAGCAAGCCCGCAAGTTAGCAGCAGCGGCCACGTCGACCCTTGCAGTTTAACCCCCCAAGTCAACCACGAGGCGGCCACGTGGTCCCCAGGGTGCTTTTGGGACAACACTTCTGCAGGTCCCTGTCATCGCCTCAATCCCTCGTGTCCTCCAAGCCATCCCCCAGCTCCCTGGAGGCATCTGCAACCCCCAGGCTGCTGCTCTGCTTCCCTGCCAGGTTGCTCCAGCAAAAACCTGGCCTGGAAAGGCTCTGAAAATATTACATGAAAGCCCAAGTTCCCTGTGTGGCCCAGGAATTCCTGCTACAGCTAGGGCTTGGGCAGCTCTGATAAACCCCTCAGAGCAGGAACGTGAGCTGTGGGGGGATCCCAAGGTCCAGGAATCCCTGCTGGTGGCCAGTGTATTTGGCTGGAGCCGCAGCACCCTCTCCCAGCCTTTACCTGCGCCTCAGAAAAGGGTGTCTGCATGTTCTCCAGGAGGCTGGCCAGGTCCTGTTCGCAGTAGCCCATCACCAGGAAAATG